GCTCAGATACAAGGATGGACAAACAGAGGTTGATGAGGGAGAGATAGAGTCCCACATGCCCTCCCTGGTGGACGTGGAGTCTTTCTCCCCTCACCAGCAACCTCCCTGTGGCCTTCAGCCACCGTCCCCTCCTTTCGTCATTGCACTTGGAAGCCCTGCCATCCCTTGGGACTCCAGGGCCAGATCCCCTCCCCGTGACACCCCTCCAGTGCCATGGAGTGAGAGTCCCTTGTGGACCCCAGGCTTTCGTTTTCTGCCAACTGATGTTGAGCACCTATGGAATGCCAGACAAGAATTCCCTGGAATTTCCCAGCGTTTCCTGAGACCTGACTTATACGTTGTCAGTATTCTGATGTTTTAAGTGTGGACTCAATAGAGAAAGCATTAGCCGAAAATGATACAGATTTCTGGGCTAATTACAGTTTGGAGGTAGCACCCCAGGTATCTTAGTTTTCTTCTGTCAGCATAAAAATCAAGACTACGGAGCTTTAGGGAACCCTGTGATGTTGAACTATTATCAGTGTTCCTGGTGAAAACACAAAGTGAAGTCAGAAATTGCAGGGCCATTCTGGGTCAGGCATATGAATGTTGCAGATACAAAGGTGATCAAGATGGGTCCTCGAGGAGGTGTGAGTCCCTTAATGCTCTAGTGTCAGCCCACTGAGGGTCCCTCCTTGCTGTGCCCTCAAAAGCAAAATGGGAGCTCTATTTAATCCAAAGTTTCCTGAGTTTTATTGTACTCTCTATATGCACACAGCTCCCCACTCACACACACACACACACAATTTACACAAACACATACAAACCAAACTAAAATGAAATAACATATTACCCATTCACCTTCTAACCTTCTGGGGTACCTAGGTGTCCAGGAGGTTTGGACTCCCCCAAAGAATTCTCTCTAGCACGTGAGAGAGCTGTGAGTGCACAAACCCCTGGCCGCCATGCTGGGTGCACTAGAAGGTGGAGCTTTGCCAAGGCTGGACCTATGTCCCCAACACGGACTGTGAGGCAACAAGCCTATGTTGCCAAGAAGCAGCAACAACGGCCTCATAAAGACGTCCAATGTCAGCCACTTCATGTTCTCAGAGTAGACTCTTGGCAGAGCCTCCTTCCTCCTTCCAGGCATGTTAATTCCCAGTGTAGTAGATTGAATTATGTCTCCCCAAAGCCCACTGAAGCTTGAATTCTGTCTTCCAAGTTTTATGTATTAGAAACTTGGTCCCCACTGAGACTGTTAAGAGGGTGGGAAATCCTATTATGGTAATTGAAAGGTGGGGCCTTGAAGAGGTGATTGGATTGTAGGACCCTGCCTTAGTGAATGGATTAAAAATGGTGATCAGAGGTGTGTTTCTGTGGTTAAGAGAGGAGAGTCTGTCTTTGTTCTCTCTGCTTCCACCACCTTGCAACATGAGACCCCTGGGTCATTGTTGCCACCACCAAGACCTTCGCCAGCTGTGTTTCCTGGACTGTGGACTTCCCAGCCTTCAAAACTGTAAGCAATAAATTTTATTTTCTTTCAAATCACCCAGGTTTAGGCATTTTGTTATAAGCAACAGAAACGGACAAATACAGCCAGCAAGGGAGCCAGGTCCAGTCGGATGCCCTGGAGCCCAATCCCACCACAGTCCCTGTGGTGCCACAAGAAGCTGCCCTCACTCCTTCCCTTGGCTGTCCTGGCCCTCTTAGAGGAGCACAGGGTCCTTGAGTCCCACCTGCACCTCTCATCCCCTCCAACCGCAGATCTTGGGCACCTGCAGGGCACGGGTGTCTCGTCATTTCTGGGTTCCCCACCCCAGGCTTAGTAGGGGCTGCCTGTCTGTGGGGCTGGAAACAGCTTTGCACAATGAACCCCCAGTTCCTGCCCTTTCCAGCTCTGCTTTTCGTTTCCTACACCTCCCCGTCTTCACAAGACCCAACCTAGGGGAGAAGAGGTTATGGATGGCGTCATCTTAAGCGGGAAGGAGTGGTCACCACGGCTGAACTGGGCTTCAGGTTCAGGGGTCGGGGCGGGAGGAACAGGACTGATCCCAGCAGGGGCCCCGCAGAGACTCTGCAGGGCGCCTCCAGGGGGCGCGCGTCCGCTGGAGCGCACAGGGGCAGAGCCGCGCCGCCCTGGGTCCTGGCTCCCTCCCCAGGACGTGCGTGGGGTCGTCACCGGACGTCCTGTGCAGCAGTCGCAGTGGGGGCTGGTGGTGGGGGCCGGGGGTGAGTCTCCACGCGGGAGGCCCCTATGGAGACCTCGTTCTGGCCCGCGGCTCCAGGTGAGGGAGTCTCACCCAGGCTCCTCCCCTGCCGTCTCTGGAGCTTCCTGGGATTGCTCCCGACTCTGGAGGGGACTGGGACATTCCTGGCAACCCAGCAAGGTGCAGAGGCCCGTGTAACCGGCCTCCAAAGCTGAGGAAAGGACCCTTCAGGAGGTAGAAGGGTTACACCTGCTTTGCGCTACTCTACCCGTTCTCTCCCTCCCTCCCAGCACCCCTGAGTTTCGTTCCTGCGGGTTCCCGACCCTCACCTTCTTTCCTTGCCATTTCTTTGCCTCTGAGGTCAGACTCCCACTTTGGAATCCTGTTTCTTCATTCCGGAGACCTACTGGGGTGGGGGCGGGAACCTATCTTTGTACACTCTTTTGCCTTCTACTTTTACTCCTGGAGAGACTGACAGTGACTTTGTTTCCTAAGGAGTGATTCCGAGTGCTGAGCAGGATGAGAAACCTAGGCTAAGAGAGGGAGTTCACGCTAATGTGTCTTGAATCCAAGTGTAGCTTCCCAATAAGATCTTCCTGTGTATAGGAAAACCATGGTCCAGGAGTGTTGGCATAGAAGGTATGTAGACAGTTCTGACCCCTGAACGTAGGTCAGAGTAGCCTTGTGTGGTGTGTGCATGCACCTGAGTAGACAGCTGTGTGGGCATCTGTGTGGCCTTATGCGTGCACACCTGTGTGAGCACAGAAAAGTAGAGAGGAATTTGTTCACAAAGGAAGTGTTTCTGAGTACTGGTTTTCTTACTCCAGCCAGACATGGGATTATGAAAGGCATATATCATCAGCACATGCAAAAGCAGTCCAAAGAGCAAAGGGGCGGGGCCAGAATAAAAATGTTCCAGAAAGAGAGTGATCAGGAAGGAAAGTGAGGACTGCATGCCAGGGTGCCTGGAGGCTGGCCCGCCTCCCACAGCCCTCTGTGCTCTTAAGTCCTCCTGTCTGAACAGGGGCCAGACTCTTGTTTCGCCCCAGCCTGCTGTGTCTGTCCTCTCCAAAGCCATGTGGCTGTACCTGGCAGCCCTGGTGGGCCTGTGCTACCTTCTGCGCTGGTACCGTGAGAGACAGGTGGTGAGCCACCTCCCAGACAAGTTCGTCTTCATCACGGGCTGTGACTCGGGCTTCGGGAACCTGCTGGCCAGACAGCTGGACATGCGAGGCTTGAAGGTGCTGGCTGCATGTCTGACGGAGAAGGGGGCCAAGGAGCTCAGGGCCCAGACATCAGACAGGCTGCAGACAGTGACTCTGGATGTCACCAAGACCGAGAGCATCACTGCTGCCGCCCAGTGGGTGAAGGAGCGTGTGGGGGACAGAGGTAGTACTGAGACTCCTCATATCTGTTTGTTTCTTCCTTCCGTGTGAAGGGGACACCTTCTGTCTGCTCCCTGGGAAGATTCCTAAGTGTTTTGGGAGACTTGAAATAATAATACTGTCTATACTCCTCAGCCCTCATGCCAGCCTGAGCCCCTTGTCTTTCCAGTCCCAACACCTCCCATCCTCAGAGCTCTCTAGTCCTGGTGAGAGGTTGCCCTGATAAGAGTTTGCCCTGCAGAGGTCCTCCCTGTCCTCTCCCTCCTTGTGAGCTGGTGTACTGGGGCATAGGTTGAGGTAGCCTTGCCTCCTCCCAAAGCCTGCTCAGTGGAATTCCTAGGCCATTCCTGGAGGAATGTTGGTAAATATTGATGTAGGATATTTCATGTTAGCCTATTGAGGTCAAATATAAGAATGTTCTCCAAGTTCTCCCAAAACTAGGATTTCAGGTCTGTCTTTCCCAACTAAACTCTACCCAGATATTAGCCTTGCCTTTTTTTTTTCTTTTCACTTCTGCCTTTTTTTGCTTCTTCTGTTCAGTTTGCTCCTATTTTTCTCTCTTCCCTATTTCTTTCTTTTCCTTCAACAGATAGTTGAGGAGCACCAACTGAATAAACTGTCCAGAAAATCTGGAAATGCAGGTGAATGTATATAATATGTGCAAGAAAAACATTAATTTGTAAAAAACCAAACGTAAGTTTCCCTGTTTCCTGACAAATGGATATACAATACTTTGTCATCGTCACTTCCTACCATCATCACATGTGGGGTGACAGGCAGTGGGCTGGGCCATGAAGCGTAAAGGAAGAGGAAGGCATGGTCCCTGTTCTGCAACAAGTTACAGGATCTGCACCCCACAAACACAGCAGATGCCATGGTGTCACTGGTTGAACCCGCTTCTCCAGCCAACACCTGTCATGATGCTGTCACTCTATTGGAACATGAATTTGAACCATAACTGTGTCCACAGTGCACAGATGTAACAGTGTTGCTCTCTCCTCTCCCCACTGTCCCTAGGACTCTGGGGCCTGGTGAACAACGCCGGCATCGCCCAGGCATCGACACCCAATGAGTGGCTGACCAAGCAGGACTTTGTGGACATACTCAATGTGAACCTGTTGGGGGTGATCGAGGTGACTCTGAGCCTGCTGCCCTTAGTGAGGAAGGCCAGGGGCCGCGTGGTCAATGTCTCCAGCGTCATGGGCCGGGTGTCGCTTTTTGGTGGGGGCTACTGCATCTCCAAGTATGGCGTAGAGGCCTTCTCGGACTCCCTCAGGTATTGGACTGGGATGGGCCCCTCCCTCAGTCCTCCTGCTCCTCTCGTTCTGGGGGAGCCTTTTCCAGATGGTTCATTTAATCAGATTTAGAGCCCCCAACTTTGAGATCCCTCTCTCTCCTGCTTTGTGACCCTCCTCCTGAATTTAGGTGTCATTCACTGGGAACCAGCTTTCTGTGTCCTGGGTAGAGGGAAGGGCTCCAGGCCTAAGACATTAATTAAGCTTACCCTGCCCTGGAGAAGGTCCCACAGCCAGAAAGTGTCTGAGGCAGAATGGAACCGGGATAATCCGGCTCTAGCGCCCACGTGCACACCACTATGACATTAGCTTCAGGGAGGCGTGTGGTGGACTGAGAGCATCTGAGTCCATTCGGCATAGGTTGAGGTAGCCTTGCCTCCTCCCAAAGCCTGCTCAGTGGAATTCCTAGGCCATTCCTGGAGGAATGTTGGTAAATATTGATGTAGGATATTTCATGTTAGCCTATTGAGGTCAAATATAAGAATGTTCTCCAAGTTCTCCCAAAACTAGGATTTCAGGTCTGTCTTTCCCAACTAAACTCTACCCAGATAACACCTGCTTTGCGCTACTCTACCCGTTCTCTCCCTCCCTCCCAGCACCCCTGAGTTTCGTTCCTGCGGGTTCCCGACCCTCACCTTCTTTCCTTGCCATTTCTTTGCCTCTGAGGTCAGACTCGCAC